ATGTCTTCTATTGCATTGGTTTTATTATACTTAAACCATGTAGTTTAATTAATGTAATATTCATGATATATACTTCAATTTTTCATATCTTATCCGTATTTTTTTTTGTTAAAATCTTATTTTAGTCTCTAAACCATTATACGAACCCTCGATTTGATCTTTGAACTAAAAAAATTCCTGATTTGATCCTTACGGTTTAATATTTTAACCTCGATTTGGTCCTTCAGTTAAATATCCACCGTTAACTCACAATGAGTTAATGATATGGCAAAAATTTTAGACACATCAAATCAAAATGATGACATGGCAACATAACAGGTTATCTTCATGCCATATAACCCACCAAAATTACAATTTTACCCTCATCTTCTTTCTCCAGCATCCTCTTTCTTGAATCTTCTTCATTCATCCTTCTTTTTCCCTCTCTTTGCCTCTTCTGAGACAACTTTTATCACCATTTTTCTGAGTCAAACAATTAATTCAATGAAATGGAATTTCATTCTTCATCAATCAATTCTTTTTCATCATCAAATAACTAAACCCATGAAAAAAAAAAAAACAGAAATTTTTTTTGAACCTAGCATTGGGTTTGAACGAACCTCATGCCTGTGTTCGAACGAACCCAGTGGCGGCTACTAGGTTCAATGGGTTCTAAGGGGGAAGGGTAAAGAGAAAAGGAGAAAAGGAAAAAGAAAAAAAAAAGAAATTTTTTTTAAAGTTTTATTATCTTTAAATGATTTTTTTTTGCCACGTGTATTAATATTTTGTCACGTCATCTCATAACAGTGAATTAACAGCACACGTAATGAGATTTTTAATGAAAAGACCAAATCAGGTCAAAATGGTAAATAGTAAAGACCAAATCAGGGATTATTTTAGTTTAAGGACCAAATTGAGGGTCCGTCAATGATTAAGGGACCAAAATGGAGTTTTAACCTTGTTTTTTCTCTTGTATACTTTTTTGTAATTAATTAGTATTTAAAAGTAAAAATGATATTCTTACATTTTAAGTAATTAAAGGGAAAATATATAAAAAAATAGAT